AAAAAAATATATATATATATATATATATATATATATATATATATATATATATATATACTTGCATACATATATATGCATATATACAGTAATATATGTTTTTATATTAAATACTTATAATTTTAAATATAAATAAAGCATTTTATGCAGTGTATTTGTTACACATGTACAATATATAATTGCGTACAAATTGTATATGCGTTATGACATCGTATATCAAATTAAATAAATAATTATTACATAAAATAATTGAAAAATGTGAAGAAAAAAAACATTTTTGTAATAAATAAAATATGTTTTTAATAATCTGTGTAATAAAATATTTAATATAAATGTTTTTTTTTTGAGTAATACAAATTATAAATGTTTTTATGTAATAAAATATATATCATATATATATATTTGAACCCTGATCTGCTTGCATGCTTGACAAAAACCAAAATCAATCAATTCTGATCAAAAAAGCACAGAAAAACTGCAAACACACATGCACAGGCCCATAATTTGCGTTTAATTGCGCAGCATGCAGGGACTGTAGCCTGACCCCGGTCCCAAAGCAGTGCAGATAAAGCAATGATTCATAAACAGCATTTTTAATCAGAATGCGCTGGGAGGAACTGTGTGTGATGGGGAGCGCAGATAGGCACTGCAATGTGACATGCACACACACACACACACACACGCAGGCAGTAAATCGGCCCCATGGAGGCCGAGATGAGAATGCCGGCACCCTTGGCTTTTATTCGCTTCCTATAAACGTTAGCATGCGGGAGAGATAACATCAGTAATTGACTCTTGTCTTCCACGTCAATTTGCCATAGTTAAGCATCTGCGGAGACGTCCCCACAAAACATGCCTAACGATTATTACTTTAATTCATAATAAATGTTCATTCCAGAGACAAAGAAACCCCAAAGGCCTACAGGGAAGGCGATGCCTCCTTAATAGTGTTGTTTAAACTAATTTTCACCCACGTGCGTTTCCTCCCAAAGCCATAAGAGGGCAGCGCGCCAGACTGCCGGACACACAAATTAATTACCCAAGATTGATTTCAGCTCTATGCGCCGTGTCACACCCCAGAAAATCACTGGCTGCTGTTTCTGTCAGAGCACATACACGCTTCCACAAATCTGAAACGGGGACGAGAAGAGTGACCGTTTCCCTCACACCTGCGAACATCGCCGCTGCCGCTCTAATAATAAACAACATGAATATGTTTATATCCCCCTCAGGTGTGAGCTGTTTGTTTGGGGTCATCTAATGGACTGCCGCGCTCCGTTTTCTTTTTTCCTCCATAGCGTCTGATGGCAAAATGT